CTGTGACGTCATAATGACTTTGCATTATTGATGACGTCATACTTTCTTGTGTAAACAACTATGACCTCACAATATCTGTTTTCAAAATAAACAGTCTCCTGGTGAACGGGGAACAAGCCGAGAAAGGCCTAGAGACGCTATCTCTGTCTTTTGTTCTATTTTTTTGTTTGTATATATGTATATACTAGCTTGAATGCACAATGATTTTTACAATGTATTGCACGTAGATGAGTTCTTTATCCTGGTAATGATTGTGACGTCACTATACTTGTTTATTGATGACGTCTCTAAAATTGTTGACTATGCAAAATATTAAATACGTTCTGTAACCAACGATGATAAATAAACATCAATCCGCCTGAAGAAGCCCTAGAAGGCAGAAAGGCACAGCGGAAGATCTGACAGATTTATGTTTTTATTCTATATTTTCCTTCGCAAGGTCTTGTTTATTTATTATCTACTATATACTAATATATATATATGGAGCAAAGAAATAATTCCAACGGTGTGGACAAGTTTAGTTTGTCAAATTTTCGGAGCGATCCGCTCCTTTATCAAGACACAGTGAAACAGAACAGTTACATTTACATATACATCATATTACAAGAAGATAGAATTGATATACTATAATTGAAAATATAGCTATTATATAAAACCAATAGTCCCCTCGGCTATAGACAGCCGTAGGCAGCAATAAAGCTGAGAGCATCGCGGACAAGGAACGCTGATGTAGAGGACCTACTCTTGCGCATAAAGTGAGTCAACGAGGAGAGATAAGCACCAGAAAGAAGGGACGAGATATCAAAAACGTGGAACATGTGCATGTGGGAATCTGGCCCAGTAAATCTCAATTTCTACGGAATGCCCTCATTAGTCGCCTCTCAATTCTGCATTGGATTTAACAGTCACAGCAGGGGGGTCCACACTTAGTCGCCTCTTTCGGTTTTGAGGAATAACGCATGTAATTATCAAATAAGTGAGTGCAGGAGAAATAAGTAGATGAAATTGCTAAGATACTGTATAAATCTGCAAAAATTAATCTGACAACGGCTGTTGTGTCACACACACTGACATGCAGCAACAGGCAGGCGAGATAGCAGACCAACTGTGCAGTAATGCACCATTAGGTCAAATGCCCCCTGAAAGGAAAACGAGAAGATGGCAACCGCCTATCGTTCGTTCATACCTCGAAGGTAGCGGGTTTGTAGATTGGTGATCCAAAACCGTTCTCTCGTACGTCGTCTCGTTTCATCCCATGTAGGGCAATGATCTATGGCAACAACCTGCATGGCTTTCCAACTGTGGCTAGGCATATTAAAATGCCTTGCCTCAGGGAAGTCTGGTTTGTTCTGCTTGATGGAGCAGCGGTGGTTGTTGATTCTGATATTGAGCTTGGTGCAGGTCTCGACCACATACTGTAAATTGCATTTTTTGCAGGTAATAATGTACACCACATTGACTGATGTGCATGTTTGTAGTATGTGATACACTTTGCCGTTGATTGTACATTATAATGTATCTGTGGAGCGCGAGTATTGACACAGTTTGCACACCTTCTTGTTACAGGTATTGAAAGAGCCTTTCGCCGCAGCAGGGTTAGGTGTAGGTAGCTTGCTGCTTACCACAAGATCTCTAATGGGTTTAGGTCTACGATATGCCAGTATAGGAGACTCTGGAAATATCTGCCGAAGTTTCGCTGAAGATCGATGATGCGCCAGTGCTTTTTCAAGTTAGATGGAAGAGGCGGCATGTCTGGGTGGAACATGACTACACAATGTACCCTTTGTGTTTGGGGTCTGACTTTGTATACAAGCAGACTTGCCCTATCCAGTACCCTAATATATACATATATATATCTATACAACATTTGATATTGCACCCTTACTACATGTACAAAAATTAATCAACCAGGAGTGTTTTACAATATATAGGCATATAATTCACTCAATCAACACAATATTTCAACATAGATAGTTTTGCAGAATTTTCAGTAGCCGCCTTATCAGGCGCTTACTACTGGACTTATGCCATCTGGCTAATCATCTCGAAGTGTGTACATACATACGTGTGTGCTGGAAACATGTTTTAATCTGTTTGCATTGAATAACACATGTTTCATGAAAAAGTACTTTCAAAGTGTATATGGATGACATGAACCCCATTTCAGGGCCATACAGGTAAAATTTATTAACTTCTCCTAAATAACTGGGAGGTTATCGGTGATGAAATTTGGCCGGTGCAATGCTTAGATAAAGTGATATCAAGTTCTTTCAAAGTAACGACCTTGACCCACGTTCAAGGTAACTGGGGTCATTCTGTAAAGTCCTTTTAATGATTCATCCTGAATAACAAAGACGCCTAGGGTTTGGAAGTTCTGGAAGAAGCATGCTGACATAAATGGCTATCGCGTTAATTTATTTGAATGACATTGACAGACTTTCAAGGTCACTGTGATTAAATTTCTTAAACCCGTAAATAAGTTTTGATTGACCAAAATGCTTGACATCTGGCCAGTATGCTTTGGTCAATGAATGACCATGATAACCACTTTCAATATAAAAGAGTTCAACCTTGTAAAACATATAAACGACTTCCTGTCCGTAACTAAGGGGCCTAGGGCGATGAACTTTGGCAAGTAGCGTAAGGAGATGAAGGAATATCTAATTTGTTCAAAAGAACAGCTTTGATTCGTTTTCAATGTGACAGGGTTAAAACAATATTCAAGTGAAAAACCAAAAAGGCCAAAAGGTGATTATATTCTGTGAATAGCCTTTAACAGATATTACTTAAGGTAGTAGGGTTAATTATCAAAACCTTGTTATCGATGACTCTCGGAAACACAACCTGATTCTTTTCACCTGTGACTGTGTTTATATCACAAATCAATAGTTGTGATTGACACGTAATGTTTGCTACTTTGTTGCATTCAACTGAGTCCTAAATAATTTCAAAATCGTAGCTTGAACAGATTTGTCACTTTTTAAGCAAGTCGTGAAATTTGAAATAAATGTTAATTTCAGTTTCTAGTTATTGCTAAATAAAGCCTTATTATTTTGTGTTTTGTTTTAAGGCAAAAATATCATCGATTATTTTCTAAGATTTATAAAGAATAAGTCGAGGTTGAAGAAAAATGGATCAAGACTAAGATGAACGTAATATACACACACAGGTGATTGGCCAATTAGAAATTGGTAAAATATACATTATGGGAAAATAAATAACACTGCACCATACAGCTGTTTCGTCCGTCTACATGTAGGACTCATCACTGGTGCTAGGGGCAACAAAGTTGGAAATCAAAATTGTCTAAATTAATATTGAAGCAGAAGGGCAGTTGCATCAAATCCCTTGATCATGATTTTAGAGGAGTGCTGGTTAATTTCATATCAAATAATCTGTAAATTGTGTATATCATGAACCATTCCTCTACTCAAAAGAGATCATATTGGTCATCAAGGTTACAGTAAACCTCGGGGACTAAAACACCCACCAGTAGAGTCTACCGCCTTGTTTCCTGAAAGATGAACGTAACACACATGTTATTTAAAGTTAGAAACAAGGACGGTGAATATGATTATATACCTTAAGTTAATCATCAGAAATTTGACGTTGATATCCCGATGACAAAAAGCTAATAGGAAAGTATACCATAATGCTTTTAAGGTTTCACCTTGCCTTTTTGATACCAACGGGTTATTGGTGATTTTGCTCTTTTAGTTATAATCAGACTTTAAAGTAACCATAGGAATGTCAGCTGTCGGTAGTATAGCTAGAGAGAGTAGACCTAGTAGAAAGAATATTATTGGTTGTTTACGATTTTACTTTTAAAATGTATTCCATAATTCTATAAGGTCATCTGAAGTCAAAACAAACATACAGGCTTGAACTCCTTGATCAATTCTTCATAACGAACTTGTAATCGTCTCTCATACTGTTTTGTTCTGATCTTGATTTAAATTAATGTGAGACGAAAACTAATTTCGTTCAAAGAAGCAATAGAGTTGTGTAACTTAGAAAAGAAAACTCGTTTTTACCAATGAACAGATATCAAATTATGGATACACTATGCTAATATAGAAGAAAACAAATGATATACTTAGTCTGCTTTCTTTGGTGATACAATGTCATGATATAATTATCCGTTTCATAAAAATCGAACTTTGATGGGTTACTTTGCAAAAACATTATAAGGCAAATTTAACATTGTATCTATGAGAATGACGTTAAATCATTACTATTGTGCTGGGATGAGATTTCCAGAGGCAACACTGGACAAGTTTCTATCATGATGTCAAATTTTATTGTAATAAGAGGTCAAACGAAGTCACGAAATTGTTTTGAGAGAAAAAAGGAAATTAACATGGAATCCAATGGAAAAGAAGGCGTAACATGAAAGACACGGCATTGTAGTTCAAATGCTAGTAATGAAAATTTCAACCGCGTACGTATGTTTGAAAATAAGTAAAATAACCGATGCTATTCCTTCAAGACAACAACAATAACACTCATACACATTTTCATTTTTTTTTTTTTTTTTTTTTTTTTTATTTCACTTTGACATATCATTGCACACAGTATTTAACAGAAAAAATGTACTATATTTGACGTTTGCATTACATTATGTAGGTATGATTTTAGTAGCGGTAAATTCTCCAAGCATTTTATTTGACAACATTTTTCACAATAATTTAATTTTGCCTACCTCCCCCTTAATATTTTTTTTGGTATATATCGTATATACCTAAAAAGAAAAACAACTGATGACGGAACTACTTTTTACACTTCAGAATGCAAAATTACAACGCAGCTTTTTTTAGCGCAATTGTTGAGTTTACGTAAAAATTAAATAAATCTTTAACTGTGCATTTACAACGTGTTTGTCTACTTTTTAAAAATCAAATTATAAAGAATGCCCAATATTTTGTTTTGGTATATACGGTATATACCGAAAAAAAGTTGTGCACTTTGCATAAATCTGCGAAGCGGTTTATTTTTTTTGGTATATACCGTATATACCAAAACAAAATCTTGGTCATTCCTTAACTTAATTTGACTGAATTTTGGTTATATGATTTACACAAATTTCATGAAAATAAATTTGGTTATACATTTGACAATAAAATTGACAGTTTTCCAGATATTGAGTGTGTCTCCTTACCTTTGTGTTTTGTGTGTTTATATGCAGAATATCAAAACAATGTGTTATTAAAACATGTTTTCATATTTTATTTATATTCGCAAAGCTTATGAAATCTAAGATTTACGAATAGAAAATTATTTCCTGGAAAAATTACAAATAATTACAAATTCTGGGTAATATTTTTCAATGAACCTTTTTTTCTATAAAATTGAATCATTCTATTTTAAAAATAACAATCAAACGAATGTTCATAAATCAATTGATTACACTAAGGGTCAACTGGCAGATTTACAAATAGGTATTTTCCTCATCTACGGGTTTGGCTTTTTGTCCCCGGCATGTTCCTTGTACCAAGTCTTTAGTTCCTCTATTGTCGTGGGAAGTTCGTATCCTGCGGTTTCGGGGAGAAAGGTAAGTAGATAGACAGCAAGCAAACACATGGCAGCAGATATAGCGCCGGGACCCCACGTAATGTAATCCATCTAAAATTGGATAATTGAATAATCGGTTATAAAATGTTGTGAATCGGTAATATCATTCCACACTTCAAGGATTATGCTCACTTACGCTCTCTGCACCCCTGGAATATGTCATATCAAAATCGAAGGCTCATTGTGCACCACCTTGTTGATGAGACAAGAAGACTGGTTTGATCCTTCGATGGACATCAAAAGAATATCGCGGTTACGTAACGGTAAAAATTGACAGGCTTTGAAATCGAGTGTTGTTCCTTTGTAATACTCAAAGGACACATATCAGCCTAGTGATTGGTCAGGTTTGTTTTACATGAGACTAATCAAATTGCTATCTTTGTGTCTTCAGATTGGCTATGACATATTCCAGGGGTGCATAGAGCGTAAGTGAGCGTAACTCCTTGAGTGTCGAGGATGAGGTTATATAAACAAATATATACTGGTACTTCATAAATAGTGGACACTGTTCATCACAGTACCCCGTACTACTGCTAAAAATTGGGTGTTTTTTTTATTTTGTCACGAGCGAAAAAAATAAAGCTAACCTGAATACTAAGTCTGGATTTCAAATTGCTATGATGTCTCTCTTACATAATGTACCAATAGAGCTACATTGTACCTGTCAACGGAAGTCCCCATGCCCAACTGTGCTACAATTATATCAAAACATAAATGAAGGGAACGTTGCTGTTTTATATCAAAACCACAGTACAAGATATTTAGTCGCTATCTTCACGATTTGAAAGTGGAGGTGATATAGCATGGCAATTCAAGCTTTTATTTTCCATCTGAAAATATTATAATTTGTTTTACACCGCAACCCTAACTTACAACATTCATCTGGAAATGGATAATTCATGAAGGGATATGGAAATCGCATTTGAAACTACATCTGCAGATATATGATATCATTTACATGCCAACCAGTAAATGTATCAGAGGATTATTATGCATACGCTATGGACACAATGCCGTAGCATTAATGACATGCTATTGGATACACTACTCACGGCCACAGTTTGTGACCTAGCAAACTTTCTTCACTCATGCTACCAAAAAGTATATTTGGTTTCCAATTTGAACTAAACGATTAAAGAGACATAACTCTTACGGAACGAAAGCAATTGTTTTCTTCCATGCAAATAGCAACAGTCACTCCAATGTTGATTAAATCCCTCATGAATACTAAGCCATGTCATTAAATCCCTAATGTATGCTAAGCCTGGCCAATCCATCCCTAATGAATGTTAAGCCATGCCATTTCATCCCTAATGAATGTTAAGCCATGCCATTTCATCCCTAATGAATGTTAAGCCCGGCCATTTAATCCTTGATGAGGGGTTAAGTCCTACCATTCAATCCTTAATGAAGGGCTGATCCCGACCATTCAACTCCTTATGGAGGGCTAAGTTTGACAATTCAATTCCTGATGGAGGGCTTAATTTAACAATTCAATCCCTGATGGAGGGTTTAGCTTGATAATTCAATCCCTGATGGAGGGCTTAGCTTGAGAATGCAATCCCTGATGGGGGGCTTAGCTTGAAAATTCAATCCCTGATTGAGGGCTTAGTTTTACAATTCAATCCCTGATGGAGGACTTAGCTTGAGAATTCAATCCCTGATGGGGGGCTTAGCTTGAGAATTCAATCCCTGATGAAAGTCTAAGCCCGACAGATTGGACGTAGAGTGACTGCTGCTATTCATTTCATTATGTTCACTGTAGGAAGTTTGTAATAGACATTTTACCAATGTGCTACCCCGATTAGATATGTTGATTAGCTGGTATTTGTATAATATGTTTGATATAACTTGGTTTTTTTCACGCGTCCGCTAGGGTACACATACACAACAAGTGTGTAGTTACATTATAATCGTGGTTAATCTTGTTTACATAATTGTTCGTAGGAATTGGATAAAATATCTGAAGCAATATATATTGAGGTGTTAACTAACAGACGTTTTAGTATGAAAACACGTCCAGAGTCGTGGAAATAAGTTTTAAGATGAGGTAGTATAATAAAAAAAATATTCTTACCAAGGGACCAGCAAAGGGTGCCAACATTCCCCCCGCTCTTGCTACGCACGAGGAAAATCCAATTCCAGCATTTCTTTAAAAGTAAAGAAAAATACAGTTCGTATAGAGCTTTCAGGATATGCAACTATACAGCATAAAATCATTTTTTTAAAGTTGGCTATTTCACTTTGCTGCATTACACGGTAATAGTTGCAATTATATAATATAATATAATAAGACAATGACTTGACTTAAAATAATCAAGAAAGTAAGGAAACCGAAATATAAACATTGTGTTAGTCAAAGCAGGAAGGGAAACTAGTTGACATTAACTGAACCATATTGACATTTCGTCCATTCGGGACTCATCAGTGATATTAGAGGTTAAAAAATGAAAATCAATTCTTGATTGTTCCGAAGCAGATGTCGAAATACCACAAACAGGTAAAAGTGCCTAATTTACTCCTCAAAACGTTACTTTGTAACTGTTAACTACAATAGATATTTCATTTTAAAACTAGTACTTCAGAAAACGGTACAACATTAACCTCAAGTACTGGTAGCCTAAACGTTAAGCCTCCTGAAAAAACAGGCTATGCAATGTCTTTTTTTGGTGTCTACTTATAACAAATATAGTCATATTAATATATTTTGAGTAATGCTTTTGAATATCATGGTTTTAGTTTTTCAAGAGGCCCCATTCTTTAAAAGGAAATAAAGTGCATTTATATTATATGTCGCAACGTGTCCAGGCTCAGACATAGCTTGACAAAGGGACCAGTTGGTCTTGAAACGTTGCGACACGTTTAATACGTACATTAATTGTGTGGGAAGTAAAACTGTGATCTCACATATTTCCAAATTGATGACTGTTATTGAATGTATTTATATCAGCTCAATCATATATTTACTCATCAGTGCAAATCTTCAAGTGGCATGCTTCAGCGATCAACATCATGAAGTAATACAGTGACATTAATAAGTGTGAGAAACATTATGATTATTATTACTGCTGAGATATGTACGTTAACGTTTTCACAATATGATGTAGACTTACCTGAGGTTCGTTGGGTACAGTTCTGGTGTATACAGAAATATAGTACTAAACGATCCTGTAATTCCAAACTTGCCGACGAGGTTGAATACCAACGACACTGCCCCTAGAGTACCAGCTCCATCTGAATTTGAAACATAACAATTGTCTAAGGACTCCATAAATTAAAAAAAAAATATCGCAGCACTTCTACATGAGGACAAATCCGATTTTAAGTTCTAAACTAACAGAAACAATGTGCTGGGATATTCTTTTCTTACAATTTCACAAGCCACATGAACAATGATAGAAGAAAATAATTATGGAGGTTTCCGCATTGCTTATTATAAAACTGTTGCTTATTTTGAAGGATGTACACGTGAAATAAATATATTTTTTCTCAAAAATTCAACATTCAACAACTAAGTTCACACAAGTATTTTAAAATGGTTAGTTACGTTACCTATTTTAACTTACTGAAAGCAAAACAACGAGCAAAGATTCGAACCCAGAACCTTCGAACCGTTTATAACAATCCAACGTCGTCAGCTACCAATTATTTGTGCTTGTAGGTACATCATATTTCAATAAGTTACTTATAAAATAAATCAACAAAACGTTAACCCACAAACAAAGTCAGAAATCTAAGTCGATATAAAAAGCAAACACAGAGGACAGATTACCTAAAGATATTCAAACAAAATTAAGGACATCTTGAACTCCCATAAAAAGGGTCGGGAACCTAAGTGATACTGAAGGGTTTAAGTATGTTAATTTTCTGACCCAATTGACCGGAATTTTCAAGCACGTATATAGAAATAAGTAGCCACATAATCAATAGGTCATTATGTCAAAGGTTATACAATGTTTACCTGACAGTGACTTGCACACTGTTGAAACTGCTAGGGCTATCCCGGCTATTACGTGAAACAGTATACACGTTTTACGTCTGCCAATTCTAAACATCAGCAAAAATAGTAAACACAATACAGATGTGATCAAATTCAAAGTATATGAAAGATTATTAGGGCAACTTAGAACAAAAAGATAAATTTCGTTTTTCTATGTTACATGTACTTACATGAAATTCTGAGATAATACTTAGAAATTTCGACTTACTTACTGGAAGTTTCGTCTTTAAAACGCAAACTTCCGACAAATTAATTCGAAAGTCAAAATTTCGAGTTTTAAGTTTGACATTTCGAGTAAGGAAGTCAAAATTTCCAATAAGTATTTCGAAATTCTCGTTAATATTTCGAGTTATAAAGGCGACAATTCGATTTAATAAATATTATATAATTGACCCAATTGCTCTTCCGTTAAAAAACCAATATACATGTATGTATTCAACACAACAGTTTTCATTGTGATGAGATGATAACCATAGCACAGAAAAAAGTCTACACTGCTAATCCTAAACAAAACACAAGTTAAACATTATATTTACAGTCACATATTGACGTAAAAAGGAACAGGAACAGATTTCTTACAATCTGTGTATTCATATTTGAAATAAAGATGATCTTGTTTACATACATATGCAGAATTAAACATTGACGCCGTCACAAAACCTTGTCAACAACTTCTTAGAAAGGCTTCCATATGTTATGTTGTCGAGATAAACAAAATTGACATTTTCAAACATATGATTCAATCGGGAAACGTCGGCACTTTCCGTTTCTTGTTTACGGAAAGTGCCGACGGTTTCCGATTGACATATGGTTCTGAAGTGACGTAATAAATTACTAGAGTTTAATTCAATTCATGGAAGGTTATAAATATTAAAAAACATACCTATTAATGAGGAGAAATTCCATCAAGGCAGCTGGGTATTCTACTATGGCTATCAGGAAGTAGTTAACGAAACGGTCACCTGACAATGCTGACGACGTCAAAGATAGGGCGTAGTATACCAAACTGTTGACCAGCCTGTATCAACGAGTAACTTTATCTACATTCTACATATACTATATACAAAGCAAAGAATATTGGTATATTTACATACTGTATATAAACAACGGATATATATTTCATAATGTAGTGTCAACAAAACTGCGAGTATTGATGTTTACAAATTCTGTACATAAAACAACATTTCATTACATACTGTATAAAAACAACGAGTATTGATATCTATATATATACTATATATCAAACAACGAACATATTTTAGTATATACTATAAACAAAACAACGAGTAGGGATGCATACATATACTGTATATAGAACAACAAATGTATTTCATTATATACTGTATAAACGAGTATTGATATCACTACGTACCTTTACAATCCAACAGTTTTTGATATCGTTATATATCACATTTTGTTGTATCCGATTCCATCATCTTACTAAATATATTGTTTTGCACAATTGTTTATACCTAAGATAGTTTCAGTTAGTACAATAGAAATTTATAATCCTTTGTTGTTCTGTTAACAAATTATCTAAACAAAAGTTGTTAAATTACGGAATACCGAAATCCGGATTTTATGATTTGATATACTGTAGACCGGAATAAATCATTAATAGTTCTTTCCTTATTATCAAAGTAAAAAATGAATGAATAAAGCAAAATATAATATAAAAACCATTCCCAATAACAGTAAGAGGCCTTATCCTCACCAATAGGCCAATCATACAATAGTTCACAATAATGACAATATACTTAAACAGCAACCTTATTTTCACTATTTGCAAAGACCCGGATGACACTTTACGGCAAATAATGCCGTAAAGTGGTCCAGTGTTGTAAACATTAGTATATCGTGTGACTACAGTGATGTGCCAGTTAGTACTTACCACATGTACCATAAAATCAAGGAATTAAACAAGATAATTTTATGACGAAATATCGTGGTAATATTATAACGCTTTACAGTTGCAGTTACGCCCGTTGGTTTTTCTCTGTGGTTCAATTCTACGTCATCCGTAATGTCATCTTCCTTTGAAGAATCATTGGTTCCAATATGTTCAGCACCATTCTGATTGGTGTAAATGTCATCTTCCTTCTTTGAAGGTAGAGTATTATTTACTGGAACTAAAACTTCCATTTCCTTCGAGTCTCTAATTGTGGCTGCTTTGATGACTTCGTCGAAATCTTTTCCGTTCATTTTTGCTGCCTTTCGAATATTTCGTTCTGCCTGTTTTATTTTTCCGTTTGCTAACAGCCATCTGACAGATTCGTCCATTATCCTGTAATAGAATGGATACAATCAACATTGACGCCAAATTCCACGTTCCGTTGTTCAATATGACGTTTAAAGAACTACTATTAAAAATCTAATTTTTCCGAATATATATTTTATGTCTGGTGTTGAAAATTGTTTTATATCGAGAAATTAAATAAAGTGGATCAATTACATATATCCTTACATGCATAATTCCTAAATTAATTATATGTTCTTACAAGTTTTCCCTCGTGGACGTTTTTTTAATCAAAAACATTTAACAAAAGAACAAAAATATACTCGAAAATTAAAGTCTCTATATTGTATGTGTATTGAAACGCTGTATGCAATTTGCAAACATTTGATATTTCGCCCAAGTTAATTGAAGCCCAGGTCTCCCCCTTTTAAAGCAGTCGATCACATTTCCAAATATATTTTATGACACTATTGAAACCGAATGTGTGCAAGCGTTCATAAAAAAATATGAAGTCCATGGATCAAATATTGTTGAATCGCTGCTAACAAGAAAATATGACATGAATACTGCGGGTAGATATGTCTAATCTTAACACATACAATAAACAGTAGGTCAACGTACCAATATTCCACAAGGCTATAACATGAGAATAAAGCGAGGGTCATTTGGAGATATCGCCATGACAAATTCTTGAAGAGGTATCCTAAGGGAGATAATAGGTTGACACCAGTTGTCCAGAAAACTAATCCGAGACACTCGCCTATGTATCGTGCCTTCAGGGGTAAAATCTCTAAGGAAAGAATTGCCATTGTAAGTCCAGAGCCCTGTAAATATAAACGTTTTGGGATATTTTTTACAAATTCCACTAATTTCGAATTGTGGATTAATTCGTTTGACGAAACGTATAAAGAATAATGCCAATTTTTTGGTAAATTACAAGAGATATTTTGTGAAATAAATTGCAAATTGTGGTGTCTAATCACCCATGTGTCGAAAATGTGTACATTATGATGAAATGTTACTGATAGATTCGAAATAAATTGAACTAACACGCACAAAATATGCTTAAAATTAAAAATATAGGACTGTCATTCTCTAATACATGTTTGATTAACAGTATGTAAACAATCCCAAAATCGTGTAATGAATATGTATGTGTGACGCCGAAACTAAATCACAGATTCATAGGTCCATGAAAACAGATAAGGTTTATTTAAACCCAACATACAAAGTAATGACGATTATAAAGGTTCATAAAACCACCTCCAAAAGTTTTTTTTTTTTTTAAATACAAACAAAACAAAAAGCGTCCGAACGTTTCAACTGTATGTGTAGATGTTTCCAATCAAGAAACTGGTTATATCTTACGACAAAGAGATTAATAAAAAAAGACTCATTTAAAAGCAATTTCACTGAAATGTCATAAACTTGTTGCGCTAGTATGACATCCCTTCCGGTCACATTATCCTGACATAGGCTTACAAAGATTGCATAAGAAAGCTTTGTAGAAAGGGGTAGGTCAAATTAAAAAGAAACGATAATCATCTGGTTAAAGGTATTACAAAGTGACAGTAGATCAATTTTGGTCACGTCTGAATCGAGTCTGAATCCCCATAAAGTGAGCAGAGAAAGAAACTACCAATTCTGCAAGGTGGCTCTTTAGAAATCGCCTCTTTCAAACATGCAGTGGGATACAGAAGGTCATGTGATAAAATTTACATTACATACACGATATGTGTTTTTATCATCACTGTTGACGTCAGCAGCTTTGATATTATTGTATATTTGAAATTCACTCTTCTCATTGCTTATATTTTTTCAATGTAATAAATGTTGGAGGCAAAGACAAAAAAGTAATATTTTTAACAAACGAAATATTTATAAGGATACCCTAAACATTTTAGAATAAGAGAAGAATAATATCAATGTCTTCTAGTTCATCGACTTCAATTGCCATGCAAATATATGGCAGAGCAATGTAGTGTCCTCTTCTTAAAGTAAGATACAGGCAAATGACAAGAAAAGGAAACACATGCTAACGAGCAAAGGAAAGTCGATAATCATAGCACAGGAGGAAAAAGAATAGTTCCCATTCAGATCAGGGTGGCTACCAAAAACTTGTGTTTACATAAGTATTGATCAAATTGCATCATCAAAGACCTTACGCTTTTCGTTGGTCCTTCAGTAAAACCAAATACCGTATACATAATATTTAACGGCAACCATATGATCAGAATTGTACGATATCCTGCACCACATCCGTCACCCGTCAGAAGAGGTTCTGTCAAGTTTTCAGCCACTCATGCAGAGGTTACTAAGATATGACTTACATGCATTCAGTGGAATGTTCAACGAAGGTGATAAAATGACGACCTGAATCAGTATGATTTTTCTAACGTTTTAAAATATGTATTTCAATATTATGTACAAATACATCTTCTTTATACTGTTTTTTAATTTTGATCACATCAAATGTAACGGAACGTATTTTGTCTGACCAGAGAAGACAGTAACCTAGATGTAGACTGAAAGCGGTGATTCTATTTTGGATCATCGTTTTGCGTGCATGTATCACTGGGGCATGAGTGTGGTATGATTTTTAGTGGGAAACGTCCGTACATCGCCAACGTGGTAGATTATGACATCATTTTACCTGCTGTACAGCACCCAAGAAGAATCTCAACACAGCAAAGACTGTATAGTTAGGCGCCCAAGCGATCGCGAAGGAAACAGAAAATAAAGATATATGGCCAAATATATGGACTTTTCTGCGCCCGAATCGGTCAGCAAGAGATGTGAATATGGCTGCACCGAAAGCTTGACCAAGGATGACCAGGGTTTGGGAGAACTCGGACAGTTCTGCTCTGTCACAGACAAGGTCCCACTGAAAGTTAAAAAATATGTATAAAGGATTTATATAACATGTTTTAGTAAAGTACGGAAAAACATGTGAACTAAATTAGTTTTAATTTCATAAAACTGATTAAAATATCATTGCTACAGAATGTCTGCATGAACAAAAAAATATTCAAAATACATGTATTTTTACGAAAAAGTGTAACTAGTTTTTTGATGAAATAGTTCAGTGTTAAATGAAACTGACCTCTGTGACAAGAGTCCTGTCTTTTGGCACCGGATACGAGTATCCAGAAACACATCCAGTAGACTTTATAAGCGTTGAATTTGCTGAATCAGTATATACATCAATGGAACATTTGTTGTAGACAAACGTGTAAGAAGCGTTGTCATGCATGTGGGTGTCATCTCCAAATATCATATCAACAGTGGTATCGTTGCAGTAGAAAGGTGGCCGGTAGGCTGCAAAGTAAAATAGAAAGGTCGATATAATCGAAAATGAAATAAAAAGACTGGTTTGGTTGGTTTTTTTAGGGATTAACGTCAAATCAACATATATGGTCGTTTAAGGACGTGCCTCTATGTGTGTAGTGTGTGCATGCATGTGTGTTGTGTGTAGATGCATATGTGTTGTGTGTGCATGCATGTGTGTTGTGTGTGCATGCATGTGTGTTGTGTGTGGATGCATGTGTATTATGTGTGCATGCATGTGTGTTGTGTGTGCAATCATGTGTGTTGTGTGTGCATGCATGTGTGTTTTGTGTGCATGCGTGTATGTTATGTGTGCATGCATGTGTGTTATGTGTGCATGCATGTGTGTTGTATGTGCATGCATGTGTGTTGTGTGTACATGCATGTGTGTTGTGTGTGCATGCATGTATGTTGTGTGTGCATGCATGTGTGTTGTGTGAGCATGCATGTGTGTTGTATGTGCATGCATGTGTGTTGTGTGTGGATGCATGTGTGTTATGTGTGCATGCATGTATGTTGTGTGTGCATGCATGTGTGTTGTGTGTGCATGCATGTGTGTTGTATGTGCATGCATGTGTGTTGTGTGTGCATGCATGTGTGTTATGTGTGCATGCATGTGTGTATATGTGCCGGTGACAGGGTCTGTTTGTGTAGAACACAAGGAACACAGGAAAGGAATGGAATTGTGACTTCTATACCCACCTACTCCTTCCCACAACTAATATTAATAACCGAAAGGCAAAGTCATGTACGGTATAGGAGTAAGCAGTTCATATACCACGTAAGATAGTCGTACTGATGTTTCCTGCTAAATCCTTTAAAATAAAGTGTGCCCAACTTGGTTATCTTTTAGCTTGATAATTACTTAAGGATGTACTCTTCTGAGGTTTCAGTCACGTTCAAGTCTCGTTTTGATCTGGTGTAACGGGTTTTTGTAATATTTAACAAATTATGATATGTTTAATAGCAAACACAGATCTGAAAAACAAATAAAAAACTAGATGTCTGTTGTGGGTTTTTTTACAATAATTTGGAAAAAATGACCAATTTGGCGGCCATTTTGAAAAAGTGTATTTATGTGAATTTCTTGCGCTTCACAAAGGGCAAAATTTCACCTTTTTTGAAACTAGATTAATCACTTAAATTGTCATTTTGTCACCATTTTTAAATGTAGCAGGTTCAATTTTGCTGTACAACTTTATAATGTTCAATATGATTAAAATAATATGCAAAAAAAGTGGAAAGTTATATATTATTGGTATTTCTTTTTTACATATTAGGGTAACTGAAGCACTTTTGATTTTTGACCACGAAAAGGTGAAAAATAACACAAATAATAATGGGACAAAAAATGAAGCACACCGACCCCCCATTTTTGTGGCTGTTTTAGAAAGAGAAACACATTTTCTTTTGATTCATTGAATACCAAAAAAAGTTTGATACAGGAATTTGTTATATCAAGCGTTTAATCTGCAAAAAATGGTGAAAAAATTTGCATTTCTCATTTAAAAATAAGGGGTAGGGGTAACTAAAATCGCATTTCTGAGTAAAATGAATAAGATTAAGAAATTTTACTTCTATAATTAAAAAGAAAATAATATTTTTATCAAATCTACAAACATTCATACATATCTGATAACACACTTGGAAGAAATTGTATGAATTTGTTCTGCAAATGGACAAAACCCAAAAATTCACCTAAAATCACCTATTGTGTTAAATTGGTATCTTTGACTGATCATAGCACAAAAACGAACACACGGACATATATATGTTTTTGCAGTTTCTACTATGCCATTATCTCCTTTTTCCAAAAATCAATATAAGGAAAAAAGTTTAATACAGGAATTTTTTGACTTCTCAGAGGTGTACATCCTTAATTATCAATAAATTAAGTACAAAAGTAAAATAATTAGTATGTTAAATTCATATTTTAAAATATAACAGTTCTTCCCAAACCTGCGAGTTATCATGTCGTGTTTGGTTCTGTATTCAAATGTTTGCTTCGAATTTGATGAAATCTGTGATTAAAGTCGTTCGTTGAGGGACAAACTTACAACATATAGATATACGGGACAGACAGGTACACTTGTAGATGATTACTATGAGCATGTTTAAGTAGTGTCATTAAAACTCTCACCGGAAAATTTATGATTTTGTTGCATGATATGAGGGTCGACGTTTTTTATTTAACTCTTAAAAGCGCTTTGTTTGTTGTTTTATCACTAGCCCGTTTCTTTAAGGACTTAATATTACCTGGATTAACAAAGGTGGTGTCGTCGTTGAAGCAAAAACACTTACCTTCCGAAACACCTGGTTTTATTATTATCCGCCTCTAAATAGCTGTGTGTATATCCATTTGACTGACTCTCTCTCCTCTTGATATGTTTTTACTTTTCTTATCTTGTTAAGTAAGTGTCTAAAATTGCTAGCTCGTTTGCTATTATTCGTCTGCTGGTAAGCATACAGTTATAAATTACTTTGACGTTATCATCAATTCTTATTCTAAGGACTTAACACTTTGATGAAAATGTAAGCTTAAAACCCGAGAAATTGCCATAATTTGTCTTCCGAAATTCTGTCATTACAAATTGTTTGGTAATATATCGAAGGGGGCGACTCTTTTGTCAAGAGAGAAAATACGTAAGGGAACTTTGAAATGTGTTCGCGATAGCAAGAATGCAAAAGAAATGAGTTCATTATATCGAGATTTTATACACATTTTTTCTGATGTAGGTTATGGATCTTCTATAAAGACCTTAAACAACGTAAGACATATATATACTTAACAATTTGAAGGTGTATCATTTAGCTATCAAAATATACTACTTGTATGTAGAATGATGATGCCAATATCAATATAACAGGAAGTTGAGTATTTGTGTTATATCACCCTCAGAAGAAATGAAATGAAAAGAACTGTTAACAACAGGTATTAAAATATGTAAGAAAATGCATACCAATAAAAACCGTCGAAAGTAAATGGAATGCTAAAGGTATAATGCCAATTAGGATGACTGTCAGCTGAATTCGCTGGTATTTTCCAAAGGTTCCCAAAGATATCCATATTTTGTCAACGTCCAGTGGCCCGTCCATCTTGTTTAATGTTGTGAAACAGCCTCAGCCACTGTTAGGCGTATGATACTATGTAGGTCGTAACATGGACTATTTGTATAAGTACATATGTTTATGAATAAGGTTACTATCATAATGACACTAACTACATGCATCATCTCGCTCTGTATTAGGTAGCATACACTGTTGTGCTTAGTCTCGTTAACCTAATTTCTTATCGTACATGTACCTACTTACAATACAATTAGAATACAGACACATTAAGTCTACCTGGAGGAGCATAGAGAGACATCACGGAACAAAAAGACAAGATTGGAGAAAAACGAAAGCATATATTTCTCAGGAAGTATGATGGGAGCTCCAGATCTGTGTTGAGACAATTTTAAACGCAGACGACACAGGCGAAACCTCCGATTCTGTGGTAGAGACCCTCGTCGGTAGCCTCATATTAGTATGCGGTGTGATACAGCGGCCAATCATTACACATGTATTAATGCCATATATGTGTGCCAGGTCCGTGACTTTGCATACGATCTAACTGCATGAAACATTTAAAAACAAAATATTCCAAATATATAATTTGTGACATACAACTTTTGTCAGATAAACTGTTAAGGAAGTACGCATTTTAATTGAGGTTTCTAGAACATCAACACTGCGGGGTTGCATGACCGTTATAATAACGTGCTCCGTTATGTTATTAAATACACTTTTAGGGAAGAAGGAAGGAAACACCGGACTGATCAAGATTTGAATAAACATTAGACACACACGTTAATTCATCTGTAGATTATGGTAGATGAAATAGAAACAAAATGCCAAAATGAATAACAGTGCATAACGCAGCTGTTTTTTGACTCATCGGTGGTGTTAAGGTCCGACACTGAGGGAATCCGAGTGGATCTACAAAAACTGCACAAAAACTGCGAAATAGTTTATCCCTCCAAGCTGTTTGAATTTAAGCTATAATTATCCCAATCATTCGGGAAAAAGCATTTCCTTACTCACGGACGAACTACAAGAGATAGTTAGGAAAACAATTGAAATGGGTACCTCGAGTTGTTTAATATTGGGGATCAGATGTTTGGAATTATTGACAACTTTTCAATAAATTGTTTTATAGAGCATGCTAAGCCTCGCATCCTTTCAGCGATATGCGCATGGCTCTGTCATATGAGATGTTCAAACATCACCAACGCAATGATTAAGCTGTCGTGATACTCGTTGGTAGCAAAACGGACAGGCCTGCGACATGCACATGTACTGCTTCGCATTTATTTGTAACAAACAGTTTGTCTCCTAATGGAAGAATAGTATGTTAATAATTTCCGTGTTCGACTCGTACACTGTAACAGAAGTGTATAACCGTTTTCACGTAGGAAAGACAATTGCATGACCTCCTAATAAGTAAAATAATGAAGCTCACTTTGTTTCTAAGTTGCTTAGCAATCGACAAAGGCGGAGATGATCAGTCTCTCCCCTGATATTTAGAATTTATATTTTCATAAGTCGTCGATTACCACAATGATATACGTGGTTTTGCTGAGCACAGTGCAGCAAGTGCCTGCTGCATATCGGGACCTCATGTGGTAAGTTTGGACTTTACGTGGTAGATCTGTTAGCTTAATCTTGTGTTCCTTAGTCAATTTCAAGTTCACATAAAATGATGCCATCTAAAGTATAGAATTTATTTTGATGCTTAATTTTCAGTTTAATTTTTGTAGCGTGGAATCCGAGCCAGGAAATGTCCATAGACTGTGTACCATTATTTCACTGCAACAGCTATTGAGAACGTATGTCCAACGCCTGACAATCTGGCATGGGTAAGTAAAGCATATTTTCCACTTCCGACTTTTTCGCCCAACTATATTGTAATACCCGTAACTCGAATAAAGTCTTGAGACTAGATCATCAGCTGTTTTAGTTAAGTATATTTACATTCTTGATGTTTGTTCTGTACATGAATCTATTAACTGAAAACAACTGCGATTTGACTATAAATACAACGATTCTCGTTCAACCAGTCAGCTGATTTCCCACAAAGTATGACCACTTCATATTACTACGCATAGCACCGTTGCTGAGAATAGATATCTCCCTTTCTCCAAGATAAAGTAGTTGCGAGAAATAATAATAATCATTACAAAAATCATGAATTGTGCAACATTGTACTATTATCATTATTCTTTCTAATTTAAAACTTAATAAATTACTCATAACATTGTCATTAAATACTTACTTTCGAATCGCAATCGGTTCCTCGTGGTCACGAACTATGCCTATCTAGGCTAACACCCAAACGTTCGGTCTGGTAATCCACGCATCCTGCCCGTAACGTCAACTAGCACATACAGGGCATTTCATCCACCAACTTATCATCATTTACATTTGCAGGTTTTTTGGTAAACAGTATATTCATCTTTAAATGAGCGCTATGCCTACTGCCGACGGGTGCTCGGCCGACAAGTGCCCTGGATGGTTACTATGGGGACCGATTTTTTGAAATAGTGCGAACACAAGCTTTTTTCAATAAATAATATGCGGTGTTTAACGCGAAAAAAACATCAAATAAGATCATCTTTCAAAAATAAAAGGAATATCAAGTGTCGGTTATTATCAGATTCTAGATATATTTTCGTTTCAACAAAATTAGCTGACCTGCGGAGGTCGAACATTTGAAGTTTGTGTGTAGGCTGGAGTTTTGGCTGTTCCTTTTTGATGGTTATCTGACCGATACTAATATGAAAAATATTAAATCTATAAAAATGTTGTAACTTTTTTGTTGTTGTAGTTCATCGTAACGTAAATATATGAATTGATTGGATTTGTTTTCATGTACATTACAGCAATGAATAGCAGTAGCTGATCTACATATCTTCTGAGAATATGTAGATCAGCTACTATTATTCATTGCCGCAATGTACATGAACAAAAAAATCAATCCAATCCCTATGTGAATGAACAGGAAGTAATTTTTATTCTAGTCAATTGGAAATGAGGTTTTCTGCACCCTCCTTTGTTTGCTTCTAAGACTGCTGTTTAAGCATGCAACGTCGATTGCGAAAAGCGCAAAAGAAAAATGGTTGTCCTTAGTTACAACGGTACACGAATGGCGAAATTGTAAGTACAGTAGTATTTATATTCATATGTTTGTGTTTCAAAATAATCTGGTTTAGTATTATTTTGTTGTTTCATTTTCGATCGCCGATACAACCATTTACAGTCAAATACATGTACTTCTTGATAGACTGCTATCATGTTGCAGCAAAACATATACGCAATTACAATGATACAGTCAAGCTTGTACAATGTGTTGAAAGTCCAATAAGTGGTCTCATTATAAGGTGCCTTCTCAATACAAGTTCAGTTCCCAAGGAAATTACTACAACGGAAACATTAGAATGGTTCATGTATATATTTTTACACAGACGGTCTATTTATATAGGGGGTCGCATAAAACGGTTATTTAAAAACTTTTCGTTGTTGTGTGAAATTTGAAGAATAAGAAAGATAAGTTTGGGTGTACATGCATACATCAATTTGAAATCAAAAGTTATCGTGAACGACCTACTTCCATGTCTTTCTTTTTTTAACTGAATTCATTGCCTGTTGTATTGAAATTTTAAATACGGTTATTTAAAAACTTTTCGTCGTTGTGTGAAATTTGAAGAATAAAAAGATATGAAAATGTTTCATTAACGGCCAATGCTTATTCACAGTAATTTTTTTGAGTAGGGGAACATGGAGGTCATTGAATCACTGAATCACTCGATGACATCGAGTTAAGCCAATGGCTTCTGTATGATGTATGATCCTTGTCGGTAAACTTCTGCTGGACACGACTTCCTTCCGGTTGCGCAAGCAGGTTGATTTTCAATAATTGTAATTAACTATTAACAATATATATGTACATTTATATACAGTTTCTTTGTGTAACGATTAGGTTAGAGTCATATTTTCTGTGTCATTTAAAAGAAAACACACATCAGAAGCGAGTCGAAAACTATTAATGCCATTGACTGCCCGCGAACTGATATTTATAAAAAGGAGGGCTCGAATTTCCGTGGATGATCTTTCCAGTGCTTGTTAAACCTATCTTTAAAACAGTTAACACTTGGAGCCGAGGTCATATGTTTGGGTAGCGAATTGCATGGTTGAATAACTCTGTTACTGAAATAAATGGCAGTTTGATGCTTTCTACAGCGTTTTTTGAACAGCTTTTTGGAATGTCCCCTTGTTCTCTGTAGTCGCACATTTTGAACAGCTTGTCCTTATCAAGGCTGTCTATGTCGTTCAAGATTTTAAAAACCTTGATCATATCTGCCCTTTCTCTTCTGTATTCTAGTGTTTGTTATCCAAGAGTACGAAGCTTATCCGGATATGATCTGTCCTTAAGTGATGGTACACGTTTAGTAGCTCGACATTGACATTTTTTCTATAGCCCTTTGGTCCTTGATGTACATTGGTGACCAGATTACTGAGGCGTACTACAAATGTGGCCTTACAATAGATTTGAATTGTCTGGTAAAGATGTCGTTACTCATATATATGAAGCTTCTAAAGATTATTCCGACTATTTGATTGGCCTTGTTTGCTGTTTTCTGAAAATGAACTGAGAAGTTCAAATGATCATCAATGTGAACACCTGGGTCTTTTTCGCTATTGACTTTGCTGATATGATACGTTATGTAATCCTGTTGTAGAGTGTATTCTGACAGTTTTTCCTTGAATCCTATTTCGATGTGGTTACACTTTTCGATATTTAGCTTCATTAACCACCTATCTGCCCATTGACACATGTTGTTGATACTGTTTTGTAGATTTTCCCTATCTTCCTGTGTAGAATTTGTGGTCGAAAGTTTGGCATCGTCAGCGAATAATTTTGTTGTACAATTTAATATTTCTGGTAGATCATTAATGTATATCAAGAAAAGTAGGGGTCCAAGTACACTCCCTTGCGTAACTCCGCTTAGGACTGGGAAGCTTTACGATATTGAGCCATTAATGGCTACTTGTTGTGACAATCCTGTTAAGTATTCCTTAATCC